TACACGTGGATTGTCATAGTGTACACTAGTTTTCTGATGACGGGCATTGCGTGCCTCGTCTTATTGGCCGCGACGGTGTCGACGCGCCGCATTCATGACCTCGATTTGCTCTCGTACCACCGCGTTGCGAGTGCGACGTGGGTGGGTCGCCCACTGCTCTTTCTACGGGGGGCGACCGCGCTCATCGTGCTTGGCACCGCCCCTCTCTCGTTTGTCTCGACCAATGGTATCTCTCACTTTGTCTCGACGCCGCGGTCGATGTTGGATGTGATGGTGCTCGCGGGCGAGGCAAATTGGGTCTCATATGTGCTGGTGGATTTCCTCTTGCCACTGCTGGGGCGCCGGGCACGCTGGTATGCGCCCCTTGGCGCTGCCATCTCGTGGCTGGCCACCATTCTCTTGGAGATATGTTGGCCGTTTGAAGCGATTGTGACGGTGCAGCAGTCGTGCACTGTGGTGATGCTCGGCCTCGATGCGCGCTGTTCGGGGGGCAGCGTCCAAATCGGGAGTCTGCACCGACTGTACCTGATTTGCAGCCTCCAATTTGCGTCATTGGCCCTCGCCGCGCTCATCGTGCGGCTGTGGCTCATGACCAACGAAGTGCGAGACCGTGGCAGCGATCTCTTGCCGGCCTCCGCCCAGGTCTTTCTAAGTGCGAGTCAACGCCCCACGTGGTTTCGCGACCCGACAACGACGCTCATGGCCGGTATTCTGCCGTTCGGACGACGCCACTTTCATGTCAACCTCTGGCAATTCGTGCGGCCTTCGCTGTGGCCGTCGTTAGGGACGCACGCGACAGGCCCCGAGACGCCATCGCTCTCGAAAGCGTGGCACGTCAAGCCGCGGACACTGCTGGGTATCGTGTACGTACTCTCGACAGTCATTGGCAGCCTCTTTTACATTTATGTCTCGACGGACGCCATGACCAACGACTTTTGGTGGGCCTCGTTCAACACGTCGGGCCACGGCACCTTTCTCGCAACCCTCTTCACGCAGCAGCTCCAGACCACATTTTCGATCCCACATCTGGATCTGACCAGACTCGACTGGAGCGACAACTCGAACCGGTACAATACGTCGGCCACGTCGTTCTCGGTCCCGATGCTGTACGCGTCCATGGTCCAGAACGAAGTCAACACGCTCCAAGCGGTCATTGACGGTCTCCGCCGCATGGACGGGTGTCTCTTGCCGTGGATCGCGACGACCTACTGCTACGTCGACTTGAACCGAACGTGGGAGCTGGCCGTGTCATCGTACCGCCAGTCGGTTTGTGATATGGCCAACGGCGCTGTGTATTTAGAGCCGATCCTGCGCAACGGCAACCAAGGAGATCTCGAGAAATGTTGGGGTGCGTCACTGACAATCGGTGTCTTTGACTATCTCGAGACCACACAGTACGGTCAGATGTGGCGTCAGTCGCTCCGCCGCCCTCCTCTTTCGATTGCCGACGAAGCCATCTACTGGCAAACGCACGGTCTTCGCTTCTACGAGACCCAGTGGCAAAACTACAAGTCGCTTGGCGTCATCGAAACGTACTCGGTGGCCAACGCGCTGGGCTTTGCGTATCCTCTCACAATCAAGTCGTCCAACGGGTCGCTGCACACGACGCAGCAGACGTCGTTCAAGATGCAATGGCCGCTCGCGAGTCTGCTCTGGGCAATCACAGTCAACAGTAGTGGTCTTTCTGGGAGCAGTCTAGTGCGTCAGAGCCCTCGATTTGCGTTTGCCAATCGCACGATCGCGTCGGTCTTGGCCAGAAACGGGTCCCTGACTTACCCTCTGGACATTGCCTTTGACATCGTCGAGCGGACGCTTGGCCCCTTCGGTACTATCTCGATGCGCCGCGTGGCGTATCCGGACGTGCTCGTCAACTGGAGTCGGTCGCTCACAGCCCGTTTCAGCGCCGATATGGTGCTCGCGAGCGGCGAGTTTGCTTCTGCTTTCGAGTCCATTGGCGGTGGTCTTATCGACCTGAGCATGGCGCCAGCAGCCTGGGGCGTGAACGGGCATGTCGGCGGGGACCTTCTCTGTCCGACGCAACCGCCGTCCGAAAGCGTATGCATGTTCTACACCAATCAAGGCGCTTGCTCGGTCAACATGGAGGACACGCTGAGCGTCGACGCGGTCATGGGCTGTATCGCGCTCTTGGCAGTCGGGCCGGACGTCAACGTCACACGCTCGTGTGATGAGATGACGCTGGCGGCGTCGACGCCGTGTCGCACGTTTTTGGAGGCGACCACCGTGTTTCTACACGTGCGCTATACGCTGGACGAACGTATCGCGATGGCGAGGGCGTCGACGGCCGTCGCAAAGTACTTCGCCAACGAGCTGCCCCTCGTACTGATTCAGTTTGTTCAAAGAAACCGTACGACGACAGCGCTCGTGCCGGCCTTGGTCTTGGACCCGAACGACGT